ATTCAGACAATAAGCTGTTTTCTTTTTTCTAAATTATTCCAAATTAGTTTTAACTAAAATTAACGAAAAGTGAACTCCTGTTTTATTAAGAGTTTATGTGAAAAGATGAAGTAATCAATTATATTGTAATGATCATTCAATTGGGTATAAAACAATATTTTTGAACTATTTTTGAAACCAGATTTGTTAATAAAGGACACAGATATTGCGCTCGCATATAACTCAGTAGTCAGTAGCGCCTGTTACTCCGATTGGAGCATAGGCCGCCGACCAGCATTCTCCAACCCACTCTGTCCTGGGCCTTCCTTTCTAGTTCCATCCAATTCTTGTTCATTTTTCTCATGTCTATTTCCATTTCTCGGCATAATGTGTTCTTTGGTCTTCCTCTTTTCCTTTGGCCTTGAGGATTCCATGTGAGGGCTTGTCTTGTGACGCAGTTGGGTACTTTCCTCAATGTGTGTCCTATCCACTTCCAGCGCTTCTTCCTGCTGAGGATGCTGCCACACTGTTCGTATTCTCCTGCATCGGTTGTTGCGTTTGGGATAAAAGGGTCAGATCATCTGAGAAGTCTAGATCGTCTAAATGCATCCTAGATGTCCATTGTAACCCGTGTTTCCCTTCAGATGTTGAGGTCTTCATGATCTAGTCGATCACCAGGAGAAAGAGAAAGGGTGAGAGTAAGCAACCTTTCCTAACATCGGTCCTCACTTCGAACGACTTTGTCAACTGTCCTCCATGCACGATTTTGCAGTGTAATCCATCATATGAACTCTGTATTATATTGACTATTTTCTGAGGCACGCCGTAGTGTCGAAGAAGTTTCCATAGTGTCGTTCTGTCCACGCTATCAAATGCCTTCTCGTAGTCAATGAAGTTGATGTAGAGTGATGAATTCCATCCAATTGATTGTTCCACAATGATCCGTAGAGTTGTGATTTGGTCTGTACACGATCTATCCTTACGTAATCCTGCCTGTTGGTCACGAAGTTGGGCGTCTATGCAGTCCTTCATTCTGTTTAACAATACCCTGTTGAAGAATTTTCCAGGTATTGAGAGAAGAGTGATGCCTCTGTAGTTATCACAGTTGCTGAGATCGCCTTTCTTCGGTATTTTGATCAGAAGTCCTTCTTTTCAGCCTTTTGGTACTTGTTCCTCATCCCAAATCTTTATGAAGGGAATATGAAGTATCCTTGCAGTTACCGCCACTTCTGCATTTAGTGCCTCTGCTGGAATGTTGTCTGGTCCTGCTGCCTTGCCACTCTTGATTTGCCTGACGGTGATGCTTATCGCTTCAATTTTTGGTGGGCCAACATTGATTGGGAGGTCCGTGGGTGCTGCTTCGATGTTGGGTGGGTTCAGTGGAGCTGGTCGATTCAAGGGTTCTTTGAAGTGTTCTACCCACCCGTTTCGTTGCTCTTCAATGTTGGTGATTACCTTGCCTTCCTTGCTTTTCACTGGTCGTTCTGGTTTGCGGCGATTTCCAGAGAGTTTCTTTGTTATGTCATACAGTTGTCTCATGTTCCCTTCTCTTGCAGCCTTTTCCGCCGTCGTTGCTAAATCTTCCACATATTTACGTTTGTCAGTTCTAATGCTTCTTTTCACTTGTTTGTTTACTTCTGCGTATTCATCATGTGCCTTGGCTTTTTCTACTCTTGTTCGGCTGGTATTGATTGCTGCTTTCTTGTTCCTCCTTTCTTGAATCTCATCCAGTCTATCAACAGTGATCTATTCCTTGTGATGGTGCTTCTTGTGACCCAGAACCTCATGGCATGCTGAAGTGATTGCTTCTTTGATCCCCTTCCAGTTGCGCTCCATAGTAGTTCCTTCTCTGTTGAATAGATCATGAAAGGCCTAGAACTTGTTGCTGAGGACTATCTTGGATTTGTTGAGTTTGTCAGTATCCCGGAGAAAGGCCGTATTCAACTTTTGTGACATTGTCCGCCCCGTTGTCCAGTACTTCTTGAGTTTCAATTTCATCTTGGCGACTAGCAAGTGATGATCTGATGCTATATCAGCTCCTCTCTTGGTTCTCACGTCTTCCATCGTCTTCCTGAACGTTTTGTTGATGCGGATATTGTCGGTTTGGTTTTGTGTAGAGTGATCCGGTGAAGTCCATGTGACTTTGTGTATGCGCTTATGTGGAACTATAGTTCCGCCTATGACCAGTTTATTGAAGGCACACAGGTTTGCAAATCTCTCACCATTTACGTTCCTTTCTTCCAGTCCGTGTCGTCCCATTAAGTCTTCATATCCGGTGTTGTCCATTCCAACCTTGGCATTGAAATCTCCCATCAGAATGGTCAGGTCCTTTGTTGGGCACTTCTCGATGATTGACTGCAGCCTATTGTAGAATTGATCTTTAGCGTCTTCATCGTAGTCGTTGGTAGGCGCATAGCATTGGATGACGTTCATTGTAATGCCCTCTTTCTTTGTTTCGAAGGAGGCTTTGATGATCCTCGGTCCGTGAGATCCCCATCCTATAAGCGCATTTTGCGCTTGTTTGGATAGCATCAATGCAACTCCTTGTGTATATCGTGCATTTTCTTCTTCATGGCCGGAGTATAACAGGAGCTCTCCTGTAGTTAGTCGTTGTTGTCCAACTTGTGTCCAATGTGTTTCACTGATCCCAAGTACCTCTAGGTTGTATCTTTTTATTTCTACAGCAATTTGGAAGGCTCTCCCGGTGTCCCACATTGTATATAAATAAAAGGCAAAATAGCACAGGATCAAAAATTATATCTTACCAAAACAAATTTGTTATGAAAAAGATCTAGAAAACTTTCATTAAAATTATTTATTATTTTGTTTAAGTTCGTTTTTTATTTTGAAAAATAATAATATTTGACTCAAGTGATGAATTCAAAATACTCAATTATCATATAGTATTTTTTATTGAGATCATGAACCAATTGATTTTAGAACACTGTTGAAAGCCTGGAAGCACTGCACGGCTTTTACATCCTGTTTTGGGACTCCTCAGCTGTGTAGTACACGTACATTTATTGAAATTTCCAGTCAATAAAATTTAACACATTTTATTCCCCTCATTATCTTTAAGAGATCAAAGACAAAGAATTGAGCAGAACAACGTTAATTCTTTTAACTTCGTAAGGTTTGCATCAGCTGCTTACAACCTATAATATTAAAAAAAACTCAAAATTATTGTAAAGCTTACATAATTATGACAGTAATAATGGATATGTATCATCATGATGGAGTAATGAAATTGAAGACATATAGAGTGATGTAAATAGACATAGTATGTAGCAGATGATTCTGGATCATCGAAAATGGTCACAGAGACAAAAGTGACTATATAATGGAGTAGTTGAACATAAATTAATAGCAGTTAAAAAAAGCGTGACTTGAGATCAATCAGATAGAAAATAAAGTTAAGAATTTGAAAGGATTGATGCAACTCATATGAGAGAAAAGTATAGCGAGAATGATGTAATAAACTTACAATAAAGTTACCATTTTAAGGAAACGTTTACGACTGTTTCCTTTTCGATACATAATTCCAGTTCGCAGCGTTTATTGATTATGGTTTCGGCGAATTCTAGAAGAACGGAATTCGACTGTCAATTGATGATTCTAAAAGATTTCAGTCTACCAATTCTATTCCTTGTGTCACAGAGATGTTCTAAGATAGCGCTGCTAAAAGCTTTAATCCACTTTGAACTGAGACGTTTTGGAATATGTTTTTGGAGCCGAACGTAGGGCCTTCGCTCTGTTCTGTCAATGCAAATGCTTTGACAACCACATATCTTCAGTCTCATTATTCCGTCATAATGATATATAACAATTTTTACTGTCATAATTACGTAAGCTTTACAATAATTTTGAGTTTATTTTAAATATTATAGGTTGTAAGCAGCTGATACAAATCTTACCAAGTAAGAATTCATGTTATTCTGCTCAATTCTTTGTTCATGTTCTCTTCGAAATAAAAATTGACTAACAAAATATATCCACCATTCTCTATGCAGTTGTGAAAACAATTAAGGTTTACAAATGTTTTAGCATGTTGAATATTGTGTGGTGTTTGCTGCGTATGTTGGTAGATATAAGTAGTATGTAACACCAATCAAATGTGGAGTGCCTGGTAGCAGAAGATTGCGAAGATCGAATTAAAGAGAACAGGAATGTAAACTGGGAGTAATCATAATAACAAAAAGAATGAAAGGAAAAATGAATTTAGTATGAAACAGGTGATGAAAGACGTGCAACTGATGTATTTAACGTATGGATTTCATATGTTACGAAGATGTTCCTTAGTATTTTATTAAATAATAAATTGGTTGTCCCCACTTGAGTGTTCATTCCCTTCAATAGTTTATAGTAAATAATGTATTAAATACTAAAATACATAAAATATGTGACATATACGTTAGTTAGTTTCATTTAAACACGCATTGATTTTAATGCTTTATTATTTTTGTTGATGGCTTTATTTAATAAAACGTGTTTGTAAGAAACCCATAAAATGGTAGAACATCATACTTCTGTGATTATTTAAGATTTCAGTCTTGGGGCTTTCTGAAATTAGTTGATCAATTATTTTCTGACTCTCAATATGCTGCGATAAATTTTCTTGTTGTACATATTTTGTGACTAAATAATTACGTATGTTGTAGGGTGCTTCTTTTACAAACAACAACGCATCGCAAATGTAGTTTTTGGGAAAATCAAACAGGAACACTGAAGTGATAGGTGATTACTGGGGAAGTCATTGATTAAAGTTAGGTTCTTCAACAGAAGATTCTAGAGATTCAAAGCAAGTCAAAACGCTTGCGAATAAAGATGACTGACAGTTAACAAATGTCGAAGAAATTTATTTATATACATTCCACGAATTCCCATATTTTAATTTGATGTATGACAGGAATGTGAACAAAGCAGATGGTATCGAATAAATTAGATGTGTTTTTTTGAATTTATTTTACTTGTTATTATTTACCACTTGTGAATTTAGTTTTCTATATTTTATTTCCATTTAGGTATTATCAGAAATGATTTTGTAGATGATATTATACTTGACCCAACAGAAATTGCCCGCGAATATTTGAAGACATGGTTTATTTTAGATATGATTAGTTCTATACCAATGGATTATGTTTTATTCGCATTCAAAGGATATGAACAAGGTGAAAGGGCTGAACATTTGGTGCAGGCAGGTAAAAGGATTTTTCTAAAATGTAATTCACAAATTAAGTTAATAAAGACATGAGCTCAAAATTAACGTTTGATAAAATGTCAGACTAAAATTAGGTCGTCACAATGTATCACTAAATAATCTGATCGTGATTTCTTTGGAGGAATTATAGAAATTTAATTTCTCTAAGACAGATAAGATCAGATCAGAATCTTGATGGAGTTTTGTTCTTTGAGCTGAGTGGTTTGGTCGTGGGGCTTTCATCGTCCTTCTGGACGATATCATCAGCACTTCTACCTGAATTTTGTGCTGATGATGTCGTTTAGAAGAACGATGAAAGATCCCCAAACCAAACCATCCAGCTCAGAGAACAAAACTCCATCAAAATCATCCACCTGAGCTACAAATCTCGACCAAATCAAAATCTGAAATATCATTGGATGATAATCTAATATGGAAGTGTTTTAACTTCTATTTATCATGAAAGTTTCGATTTTAGTTTTTCCCCTCTGTTGGGACTGAACTGCTTGAAAGAAACTGGATTTATCTACTAATGATAGCTGTAAATTTAAAGAACGTTATCTCATGTACAGTGGATATAACAATTACTCAGTTGGTTAATAACGATAAATGAATACACAAGTTTATGAGAAGAATTTAAAAATGTGTAAAATCGGGTTAGGAATAGATTATTTAAGAAGAAAAAGATTTGAAAGTATATCTAAACTGACACTTTCAGATGTGCTTCTGAGTTAAAAAGAGGATAACACTACAAAATAATGCAATTTATATAAAATCCACCTCGACTAGCTGACACATAATCTTTTATAGTGTCTGCCCGTTGTTAAACAAACTTGGCGTGGTAAGGTGTCACATTAACAGTACTCAACAAATCTGAACGTTTGATACGATTAAAGCAAATAAAAAACTATCAGCTTAAATACTAATTTGAAGTGCATATTCATCGCAGTCATTTGAATATCCCACCTCTCTTCCACATGATTTCAAAGAAAAATGTTTCCATCACTTCATAACATAGAGGGGAAAAACAGTATAACTTTAAATAGCCTGAAATTAACAATCACGAAATCATATTGTACTGTTAAATTCTTTGCCATTGAGATCATCAAATCCTTTATCCCAGACTGTACTCGACGTTTACAGTACATCTATTTGCATTCATTATTTCATATGTATAGACAAACATATATAGCTATGAGTAGTTGAATAACCAAATCAACGCGAATGGAACATAAGCCAAAATGGCTTCAGGACTAGTTAACATCGAATGCCGATTCAAACTCAAGAGAGATAAATAAAGGAAATAATCCACGAGATAGACATTACAACAACTCTTAAAAATTTGCATAGAAATCCTCGATAAAACATTCTTAATCTCGTGAAAGCGTTGATCGTTAGAAAATCAAATCATCGTTTGTGTGCCCATAAACAATTTTTTTACTTATTCCTGATCTAGGGTACTGTTTGTTAATCCCTTGTGTAGTGTGACAATTTCCTAATCTTTATACATGATATCTTCTCGTTATATTCCCAATAATCATTTTGTAGTCACTAATTTTTATAGCTAAATACAGTGACAAGCATGCGTTCGTCTGCCGATTGTTTCTTGAAAATCCCTACTAGTTGGTACGATTATTAATCAAATAAAAAAATTATATTTAAACGCAATGAATTTCCCAAAGTACATTATATTGTAAATTTAAAATTGTTGAGAAAAAAACAATTTGTTAGTATTTGTAATTGTTGAAATGACTTGTCTTTGATATATAATTAAATCAGCCTGTAGATCAGTTAAATCTACGGTTACACAAATCAGAATAGATTTTATATAGCAGTAAGTAAAGAAACAATAGTGTAATTATTAACATCATCAAAATTTATGTAAGTTATGAAATATCATGAATTATGTAAAGGATAAACTAATGTAAACGTCAAGTAAACTGTTCACAATTTGATAAAACTTTTGTAATCATCATTTGACTTAAATGAGTGATGATATAATGATATTTATATCCTTATTTTAACTTTGCATATACTCTGTCACGGTGATAAAATGTAGAAAACAAAAGTCGAATACGAAATATATTTAAGATTCAATATTTCAAACATGCATTTGTACTCCAGATGAATGACTAGAGAGCAGCGAATATGGAAATCGAAAAGATGAGAGGTAGCAGGAGCCTACTCAAAATGTCAAATTAGTTAACACCTTAATATACGAAACTTGGGTAAATAGGAAGAAAGACATAGGCACAAAAATATTTACAAAAAGTGTTTAATGTCAGTAGTGAACAGTTGATTAGAACAAATAACAAATGTTGGTGTAGTAGGTCGCAAGCAGCAATTAGTATTCTTTTTTTTCTCATTTCTGTAGTTTGATGTGAACTGTAGGCCACTCACCAATAATAAAAAATCACCAGTTTCCAACTCAATTTGGAACATCTAAACCCCCTGTTGTATTAACTATATCTTTCACTTTTGATGTTTTCCCTATTCCCATATCTAGGGTTCGATCAGATAATCAAAGTAAGAGGCTACAACACTCTCTTGGTAAACTCCGAAGAGTATAGATGTAGTAGATATCCTTTGTCATTCACTAAATAATCTGTTTCAATACCCCTCAGATTATATAAATCTAGCATTTAGTAGGAAATACTAATCCTCTTTCTGATGTGCTGTATCCGTTGTTTTAAAACTTCACCACAGAATCTGATATGGTCCTGCGCACTATCTTACTGGCTAGTATGATATGGATGGCGTTCACGGATCCACCTTTTATCTCAGCGTTCTCATGTGAGACTGAAGGCCCTGGGTTCGAATCCCGCGAGAAGGATCGTGGATGGGGACTGCTTAGAAGTCCCACAGTAGAACGAAACGGCCGTCCAGTGCTTCCAGGTTTCCAAAGGTGGTCTAGCATCAATTGGTTCATGATCCCAATAAAAAACATTATAGTTATTTACCTGGAACATTGATTAACTATATGGACTTACAGGGAAATATCCCTTTGCACTTATTAGCATACTTGCACCATTCATTATTCATTACTATCATTAATAATCTCCTATATAATCCTATCGTTTTAGATTTCCCCTTGTATTTCTTTTCATATGCTTACCTACTTATTTTTTTAACCAATTAAATGTATTTGTGTATACGGCCTCTGCGTTCCCTCTTTCTATTGTACATCTAAAGTCTTCCATATTACAAACAACCAGTCGGTTGGGCAGTTACTTGATGGCCGCTGATTCTGGCGACTCCACTGCCAAAAAAGGCATTCATTTTTAATCAAGGCACAACAACCTCCAAACAACCGTCAAATTTCTTAGGACTAGTCAAACCAAGTGGCTAAAGTACTTACACCGGACGACAAAAACGACGACAGGCTTGAAAGCGTACTCTAAGTTCAAAATTGAAGAAAAGAAATTGACTGGTTTCCACTAGCTTTTCAAAAAATTGACTGAATATTCGCTATGGAGTCGGGTTGTGGAAGTGTAGATAGGGATGCGTACATTACTAAACTTAGACCAACTGATAAATTAAATGAATAATGGCTTATTTAGTGCAAGGTTGAACAAGGTAAGACTAGAGGCAGAACTGCTAGCAGTCCGAACTAGAAGAATAAAACCTTTGCCTAGAGAAGTTAAGAAACATTTCATTACGTGATATTCATATATCAACTCAAAACAAACAGAAATTCATGAAAGTGTCCATAAACTAAGTTTTATCATCTTCAGGATGATAAACAAATAATCATTTTATTGTAAAATTACCCTATTGAAAGGCTTTTTTAAAACATGATTTTAACTTTATTAAGAAAATGAACATTCACTAAGATTAATGAGTACTGTAGAAACATATTTTAATCTGTTTTCTCATTATCATTCAGTTGATTTCATTGGTTGAAGCTTATTACGAATAATAAAGGTATGTGTGTCCTGTGAGATTATTGTAAGACACCAACCAATCCCTTTAGCTTTTAGTATTATGAATTTTCTAGAAAAGATCATCTATTTGTTATTATGCACTAAGCTGCATGATATCAAACATTTAATAATCGTTTTCAGAACCTCCATAGTTAACCCAAGCCTTCGTAAAAATTTTACTTACTACTATGAAGAAAGGGTCCAGCCATGACTTGAAATAATATTTACTTCTATGGGCCTATTGATCATTCACATAAATTTATTTTGATACATAATCTATATCAGATTTACTAATTCTAATCGTTGTGTACATGCACCCACCAAGTGTTTTGATAATCGAACTTAATTCTACTCATAAAAGATATTGTCTTTACTAGTAATTCATTTTGGCTGTCTTCAGTCAAAACAGCATACTGACGTAGACAATCAGAACATAGAAACTTTTAGATCATTATGACTCATCTAATTAGGAACACATTTTTTGTTGCATGTAATAATCCGTCAATTTGCCGTCAATCGTGCATTGTTATAAACTGATTAGTTGAAACCTATTTAGCATACACGGATTCTCAAAATTAAACAGGTGATGTGATGTGATTTTGTAGCTCACCCTTATCTCCTACGTTTTATTAACGTATATATATATATATATATATATATATATATATATATATATATATATATATATATATATATTATTTTTCTGGGAGTTTGGAACGTGAGAAAATCTTGTGTCGGATATTGAAGACATCATGAGGGTTTATCCGAGTTAGTAAATCCTTCAGGAAACAATACCATAAAATTGATTAACTTACATCCCTCATTTAGGAATGGCAGACCATGTAACTAGTATTAGGTAAATTATTAACGTCCAGAATTTGGATAAAAGGTGAATAATATCAAAGCGATTATGACCTTTTATATTACTCTTCAAAAAAATAATACCAAGTAGTTTCGTTTTTGAAACTACTCATTTTATTGGATAAAACAGGCTGGAAAAAATTTCAAGATGAGATGAAAAAAGTTTTCAATAAATAGATATAAAAATCATCGTGGTGTAAATAACATTCAACGTGAA